AATATTTACGAATTTATTATACTGTTTTTCTACGTTTATTATACGTTTTTTAAACGTATTATTTCCGTATACTTTCCATATACATATTATTTATAGGGAGATATCCTTTGCCTTTATCTACAACTTAAGTAAGTCGCTTCACATTTTTAACCAAATTTTGATAAATTTCTCTAATAATTTGAATATGATATTTTAATTCATCATAAATATTTTTAATAGGATTGAGGTCAAAACTCTGCAGGTTAAAAAAGTTAATTAATACAGTATTTTTATGATCACCAACCGGTTTTAACAACGTTTCAAAGATTGTAACTGGATTGGATATGATTTTGGATTTAACAGTTAATTTGGTTTTAACTGGTTAATCAGTTATATTGATATGAGAATAAATAATACTATTAGTAATTACATGGTTTATAGTAATTTGCTTATTGACCTAATTCATGACTATGTGATATATAATATATGCAGCATCACCCAATTTTATATATTTTTGACATTAATATAGCAAGCATTTAGAATGCTTTCACAAGCTTGACAGATCCTTGATTACATAAAAGTGACTCTAAATCTATAATATTTTTTTTGAAGATGCTTTCCATTTTTTAACAAAACTTTTTAGAAAGATTTAATATAGTCGAAGTAATAAAAAGATGCATGAACTAAATTTTTACTTTGCTCTAATTATATATAAATATATTTTTATAAAGAAATAATTTTAACTGTAACACATCACCGGATCATGTGATATTATAATAACACATGATTTCTTTATTAATTAAACCAACCTAATCCCAAACCCTAAAAAACTGTGCCCAGTTTAAAATAGTGTTAACTGACTTTCCTAGTGTAACCACCAAAAAATGCGAAATCATGTGATCAATTTCGCCGATCGTATCTAAAAATAGTTAGATTAGTTTTCGCGAAATTTTGTTCTTTTAAATAAAACTCAACTTAAATTTCCTTCAACGTTAAAATCATTTCTTCTATAGGAATGTTTGCCTGCTCTACAAGTTGCTTAGGGTCAAAAGGAAGGTTTTAAATTCCATTTTTAACTTACATATTGTATTTTATAAAAATTATTTTATAAAGAAAACTGTATTGAAAACCTTCATTTCCTTAAATAAACTTGTAGAGAAGACAAAAATGCATATAAGACTTGGTAAAAGTACTACACATATTCCAAAACCGCATCTTATTCAATTTTTGGAAATGATCGGTAAAATTGATCACCTGGTTTCGCATTTTACCCGTTATTTTTTTAAAAAAATAATTTATATATTTAAATTTATTTTTAAATTATTTATATTACAATTTATTAAATAACGTAATTAAACCAAAAATAGTGTTAAATATATTAAACTCAAATTTGCAAAGGATTTATAAACATGTTTGAATTAATTAACCTTATTATCTAAACCTCGATATTTTAGGCTATGGGCTAATCTCATTTTGACAAAAATCGAAACTTTTCGAAAATATAAGGTCTTTTCACAAAAATCAAACATCTTCTTTAAAAGGTATTCAAGAAAAATATATATCCAAGATTACATCACCACAGTTATGTAGAAATGGTGAACAACATATTGTAAACTGCATATATTTCTAACAAAGCATTTGATATTCCGTTAAATTACTTAATTAGAATACTCATTGTATATAAACTTTTATTTGTGTGTCACGTCCCCTCGGACCAAAATGGGACTTTTCATCCGCAGCTTTTAAATTTCACGTGATTACTTCATCAAAAGATCTAAATTGTAAACCATTTTTAGACTCGATTACAAATAATATTTACATTTGTAGAAAAAAAATTCTCACTCATATAAACTTTTATCGTTATTAATTAAATTTTATTTGCTATATATATTTTAATTAAATTTCTATATAAGAAACTGTTACAAATTTTTTGAAACACGGGAAATGATTATTAAATGATTTTATCACAAATTAATTACTCATCGCCGTTTTACTAAAACAGCGTGAGAAATTTTTTGAAATTCTATTAAACATATAAATACCCATCAAAATTTGAACAATTCTTCCTTCCCAATTCAATCATATATTTTTAAAGTAATGGCTGATAGTAAATTAAGTGGTACTACTACAATTATTGGTGAGTTTGAAATTAAATTGTAAGATCATATGACTTCATAATACTGCGGTTATGGGAATGAAAAGTTATTCTTTAAAATAAAAAATTTATACAAGCTGTGATTGAGAAGAATGAACCAAACACCATTAGCTAACTTATATATACGTTTGTATCAGTACTTGGTGCTTCCGGTGATCTTGCGAAAAAGAAAACTTATCCAGCATTATTTGGTCTTTATCGCAATGGATTCCTTCCAGAAGGCACTAATATCATCGGTTATGCCAGAACATCACTTGATCGTTCAAAATTCCACGAACGTATTTCCGGATATATGAAAACTCCGACCGACGAAATTAAAAATCAGCTCTCTGAATTTTTAAAGCATTGTACTTATGTCTTTGGTCAATATGACAAAAATGAAGATTATCAAAAGTTGAATAAAGCTGTTGAGGAAGTCGAACGCCTTGATAATAAACATAAAGAAAAAAATCGTATTTTCTATATGGCATTGCCCCCTAGCGTATTTATTCCTGTAGCAAAAGGTCTTAAGAAAAATGTTTATTCTACAAAAGGAATTAATCGCTTGATTGTTGAGAAACCTTTTGGTATGGATTTGGATAGTTCTCGTGAGTTGGGTAAAGCTTTAGCTCCTTTATGGAGTGAAGACGAGGTAATTATACTTATTTTTATTTATTTATTTATTTTACCTTCTTATGATCTGGAATAACTAAATCTGATCCCCAATCACGTAACAGACATATCGTATTGATCATTATCTTGGTAAAGAGATGGTTAAAAATCTCTTGATCGTTCGTTTTGCTAATGTTTTTTTTGGGGCGGTCTGGAATCGACAAAGCATTGCCAACGTTCAAATTACTTTCAAAGAAAAGATTGGAACTGAAGGTCGAGGTGGTTACTTTGATGAATTTGGCATCATCCGTGATGTCATGCAAAACCGTGCGTAGTTAAGAAAAATAACCCGGAGGTTCCGTGAAAATTTTGCATCTCACGTGATTTTGACCAGATTACGTCGACTAAACTTTTTAAAGTTTATCTACTGAATAGCAAGACTGAATTTATTCATGTTTAATTTTCACCGTGCCATTGGGTGGTTTAAGTGAGATTTTGTCTATTTTGGTGCGACGACGAGTTCATTTTAAAATATATAATTGATTTACAGATCTCTTGCAAATACTGAGTATTGTCGCCATGGAACGACCTGTATCTTTAAGCGCCGAAGACGTTCGTGACGAAAAGGTGGATAATTACAATATATTTCTTATATTTTTTTAACCTTTCAGCTAATAAATTAATTAAGTTAATTACTTTCGTTCGACTTGAACATAGGTCCGTGTGTTACGTTGTATTCCTCCTGTGAAACTTGAAGACACACTTCTTGGCCAGTACACAAGATCAGAAGATGGTGACAAACCTGGATATCTGGAGGATAACACGGTCCCTAAAGGTAGTACATGTCCTACTTTTGCAGCATGTACGTTATGGATAAATAATGAACGTTGGGAAGGTGTCCCTTTTATCTTAAAATGTGGCAAAGGTAGAGTCTTTCTGATCCTTTATATAATTTATTTAACCATAAATTTGTACTAATTAACTCATAATCTAATTTTAGCTTTAAGCGAGCAAAAGGCGGAAATTCGCGTTCAATTCCAAGATGTACCCGGAAACGTTTTCAAGGATTCCCCTCGTAATGAATTGGTTATTCGCGTACAACCTAACGAAGCTGTTTACATGAAAATGACAAGTAAATTACCAGGCCTTTCCATGGACACAGTAATCTCCGAATTGGATCTCACATACAACCGAAGATTTTCTGACTTTAAGATCCCTGATGCGTATGAATCATTGATTCTTGATGTGTTGAAAGGCGACCATTCTAATTTTGTGAGGAATGATGAATTGGATGCCGCTTGGAAAATTTTTACCCCGATTTTGCACAAAATTGATCATGAAAAAATTGTTCCTAAACCCTATGCATATGGTACACGTGGTCCAGCTAGCGCTGATGAGTATATGACTAAATATGGATTCAAGAGATCTACTCAAGAATATAACTGGCCAGAACGTCAGTAATTTTATATTAAAGTTAATTTTGATTATAAAAAATCTTTTCATAATTTAACTGTACACGTTTTCCGTTGAGTTTTGTAATTAATTCGTTTCGAATCTCATTTATAGATAAGGTCAACAAGCTTTAATACTTAAGGATCTGACTCTTTGATATCTCTTTATTGACCGATTGTTATGTACATTTTCTTCTCTGTTGTTTTGTTGTAATTAAATTTCATTTTTATATATAGTAAAAAGCATAATGCGATTCGTCACAAAAATAAATTTAAAACCGCGTCGAATAAATAGTAAATTTATTACGTGACTTAGTGATTTGTCACTTTTAAGCCAAAAGTTAAAACTTTATTAAGCTTTCTATAAACTTTATTCGAGAATTATATAAATTAATATTTTAATTTTTAATTCATTCCGTATTCGAGATTGATTCTCTGGTAATAAATGACAATGTCTCATCCATTAAAAGTCGCGTTTTATGAACTTAATAGTGCAAATTCCAAGTTGTTCTCGGAAAGTGAAAGGAAAAAACGTGGTAGACCTCGAAATACCTCGAAAGAGTAAGAATAAACGATATGCTTTCTAAATCTACACGCGTTTGATTTTACCTTTTAAAAAAAAATTTCCCATGCAGGTTGCAAAAAATACTCCAAAAGATTCACAAAATCCTAAAGGATGAGGTAAATATTTGAGATATTTTAATTTAATTAATAGATAATGTGTGACCAAATTATTCTTTACCCAGTACTCGAGGCCACATTACTTTTATAATACGAATCCGGACGTTTTTCAACAAGCAATTAACTCGATCGAAACTGTGCTTAATAAATACAAAGATGTAAATGTCATAACAAAAGCAACAGATTGTTTGATTTTTATTGTCATGATAATCTTAAAGCTGGGTTTAAGCGGAAAAGACAATGATTGGGAGCAAATTGTAGTTGATTCGTTATCATTAATCGAGGTGATTGTTTTGCTCATTTAGTAACTACAATTAATTATAAATGATTAAACGAATTTTATTTTTATTATTATTGTTAGAATTTTGTTCAGCAAGATGACACAGGTTACAGATTGTTTGCTAAATTTATTATTCCTCTTGAATTGTTATTTATTTATTTATTTTAAAAAAAAATAAAAATAAAAAGACAAAGAAATGATGGGAAAATTCTGCTTGAAACTTCTCACAGAAATATTATTAAATTCTTTATTATCAGTTGAAGTACGAAGTATGGTAAGGTCATCGGAAGAGAATTACAATCGAAATCATATGATAATATATTTTGAATTTTCTAGAGTGCTGATGTTATAAATTCTCTTTTAACTGGATGCAAAGAGAATAAAAAATTGTTAAGCCAAGAAAATTTTTTCGAGTTGTATCCTTTGTTATAAATAAAAAAAAAAACGCGCAATATTATGATTTAGAAATAGCTTATTGAATCTTAACTTTATTAGTTCGAATCTTGCCTCTTCGATGATATCTGCATCTGGTATTATTATTCGTTGCCTAATGCTCTGAAATGAATTAATAGATAATTATGCCTTACCTTTTTTCCCCCCTGATATATAAGATTATGAGCTTCAACTCCGCCACCTCGAGATCCTGTTTAGGCTTTGTCCTAGGGTGCAAGATGATCGTGAAATCTTTGCAAGCAGAGCATTTGTACACAAGGATATGAATCAAAAATTCTTGGCAATAACTGCCAATGATTTTCTCAGGGTAAATACAAAATTTGAGTCAATTTAATATGTTAAAGTTAATCAAATTTTAACGAATTCTTTGTCTATTGCTTATTATAAAAAATTAAGGATAGTCGATACTTTTTGAATTCTCTCAATGATTCAAACGATGGCATAATTAAAATGTGTGTCTAAACAAAAATAGCATGGCATAAGTTTACCAATGAAATATGTTCTAAACATTTTTTTTTTGTAGGCCAAAAACGTTTGTGGTATCACAAATAAAATACAATAAAATTGAATTATATTGCCCGGAAGGACAAGGTCATTTCTTCATCGATTTCAACAAATGGACAATATCTACTACAATAAGACCAATAGAGGTTATTTATAATAATTCCTTTCGTTGTCCATTTTTATTTTTATATACAAGATTTTCAAATTAAAATCATTATAGATTAATGATTCTGTAGAAAATGACGTGTTGGAAATCAAATATTCGAAAATATCATCATGGGATCTTCAAACAGGTAGGTTTGAGCAGTGTCTTGTTCAAAATGTTAACGGGACCATTTACAAATTTGTAATTATGAATATTACAGATCAAACCCTTATATTCTATCTTCCCGAGCCTTTAAAACTTAGTGTCCAAGATGCATTTAATTTACAAAATAATTCCATATCTAACGGTGAGAATACTATTTTCATAAAATTCGATTATGATGTTCGGAATAGTCTGGAAATGATATTAGCCGATCGCCATTTAGTAAGTTTATTTTCTTCTCGTGGGGGTTTTTTTTTCAAATTCACCAAGATACTTATTGTGCTACATATAGGAAAAAAAGACGCATTCTGTAGGAGGTTTACAATCAAGATCCTCTTTAAATAATAATACCGCAACTACATGTGCTACCCTTTCGAAATCATCCGAACTTTCTATAGCCGAAAAAATAGATAAATCAGTGAACACGGAATTAGCCAAGAATTCTCAAAATTATATTGCTACATATAATACTGAACTTTCTCCAGAAAATTACAAAAGTCAACATTTTGAAACCAGAATCATTACTTCATCTACTACCCGCTCTCCATCAAATCCGTCGAATTTTAGTTCTCAAAACAATTCACCTACTATGAATCATCAATCAATAATGCAAATATTTGATATTGATAACGTCAAACGTCTAAATGTTTTTCAACCACCGAAAAAATGTTCAGAACCATTACAATTATCTGTTTCGAAAAAACAAAGATCAAACAAGATATATAGTGTAAATGAAGAAATAGGAGAAGATACAATTATGGCTGAGGAAGGTAAGATCATTTGCTGTAGTATAAAATATGACAGAGTAAAAGGATCAATTTACGATCTTTTTAATAAGAATATATTAAAATAAACGGTACCTAGAAGTTAATTAGTTTATATATTATTTAAAGCAGAACATCAAATTCCACAAGCAGAGCTTTCAAAGACAAACACTTTACATTTCTTTACGAATAGTGATGAACAAGAAGTTTCTGACGATATTATAATAATTGAACAAAACAACAATTCAACACAGAATATAAATGCTAAAACTTATATATATAACGCAAACAAAAAGAACGTAGTTGGACAGACGACTCGTTTACATAAAGGCCCAAATTTAACAATTGATGAAAATATTAGAGACATTGACCATAGAAAAAGGAAAATAACTGTACAAGATTCAAGCGAGGATGAATTAGAAAATCCCAAATTCAGTAACATAAATAAAATGAACAAACTTCATAAAAGACAGTTAAAGGTAATACACAAAGTACAATTTATGATTTTATCAATATATTTTAGCGATAACTTTGTTTTTGAAAGATCAATAAAGACGATAGCCCAATTAAAAGTGAAGAAGAATTCTGGAATCCAACTTCGGCTGAATATAACGCTGAAGACGAGGTTTTTGAACGGATGAGAGCTCAATTTCGTAAGGATATGATAAAATTTTGTTTATTCATTTCTTTTGATATTATCTACAGTTCGTTCAAAAAATTATAGCGATAGAGTTTTTTCGGGAATTAGGAGAAAAGAACCTGTCGATTCCAAAACCTAATCATGAAAAAAAACGAGGTTTATAATTTATTTAAATTAATTTCTTGTCTTATTCGATGAGAATTACAATATTAAATGTAAAATTATCAATAATGATAATAGTTTCATTCGTGGAAAGATTGAAAGAATTTTCAAATAGTGATGACGAAAGTATTAAAAAACGTACAGGTTAGTTTTTATGTTTTTTTTAATTACTTTCCTTTATCTTATTTAGTGATTTTAGCGTTCATAAAACGGTTATCCGGCTGGCAAAATTCCTGGCGGTTGATATCTTTGTTAAATTAAAAATTGTTATTATAATAGATCGATATATTCTGCATACACGAAACATTTCACCAATTAACAGCAGTGAAATAACTATACAACCCTCTCTAGAAGACGTTGATATCATTGACGATAGCGACGTTACTCCAATCGATACAGAATGTAAAATTGACAGGTCAAACAAATACGCGAAAGAAAAATTAGATGAGGAAATTAGAAGATTATTGCAATGCATTGGCGAGGTAAAAAAAAAAAAAAATTATTAACAATTTCGATACTTATAAGTTTATTATTAATCCCATAAAAATTTAAATTAGACAATTTTTAAGCAATTTCACAAGCAAGATGTTGCTTTATTTCGAGTTACACGAAAAACAATTGTTCAAAATGAGATCAGCTTGACTCAAGGATTAGAAACGCAGTCTAAAAACAAGTACGACAATTGTGGTTTTTTTTAAAATTAAGATTATCTTTATGCAAGAGATAATAAATAAATTAAATATCATATTTAGACGCGAATTGCTTAATACATTTAAAAGAAATTACGCTACTATCGCAATAGCATATCAACAAATGATTAAAGAGTTAAAGGAAGAAAGAAAAAAATTTGCTTCTTTGAAACAAGTTGAAAATGAATGCAATCATTGAAATCGAAAGATAAATTGCAAAACTGAATTTATCATTTAATTATTCACATTTTAAATCGCAGTTAACTATTGAAATGGAATTCTTATAATTGAAATTACCTAAAGCAAAATATATTACCTTTTTTTCAAATGGTCTGATTTTTTTTTTAAAAAAAAAATACTTTAAAATAAATGCTAAAGTTGAGAGCTTTTCATTGTTTTAAATGTGATATTGGACTTTATAAAGGAAGTAGAATTTAAAATATAATAAATGATGTTATTAATCTAGCTAAACATCATATAGAATCGGATATCGCAAGGACATACTGTAATTCATAAATATGCAACTACAAATACTTTTGTTATTTTCATACTATATTATTAAATTTCACTTAAGTTATATTTGTATTAATCTAATTTTATAAATAAGATGACACTTGAATAGTTTTGATTATTAATTTAAGGAATCTGAATCAAAATTTTGATCACAAAGATTAAGAATTGTAAGTTTATTGTATTGATTTAGATTTTCACAAAATATCTCAATTAAATAACAAAGAAATTTATTTTAAAAGTGAAGTATTTTACATCATTTAATTTTTTACTTTTTGAGATATTTAATATTTTAATATTTTTTTATATTTTTTTTAAATGATTGTAAAAATATCTTTAAGAATTATTTGAGAAGATCCTGAAATACCTGAAATAGATTTTTGGTTTAAGTAATAAAAAATAATTTTAATTTTATATCTTTAATTAATTTTTTTTAAAAAAAAATATCTTTACTTTCAAAATTATTTTTTTATTAGCTTTTTTAATAAAAAATGCTTTAAGTTTTAAAATTATTTATTTTTTAATTAAAAACTTAAGAGTAATTATATTATTATAAAAATTTTAAATTAGATTATTTTAATTCAAAATTTTCAGTTTAGATTATATATAATTCAAAATATTTAATATAATAGTAATTTTATTATATATAATTAATGATATTATTTAAAACCTATTTTAATATGTAGCTTAAAAATTTAGAATTTTTTTTAAAAAAACTTTAAAATGACTTTTTCTTAAATTTAAAATTTGATTAAACTTTATTAAGTTTAGAAAAAATTTATTAAAAGTTTAAGTAAAGGTATTTATTAAAAATGGTAATATAAGCTAAAATTAGTTACAACATATATTGCAATATTATAAGTTGCAACATATATAGGTTAAAACTAATTGCAACGTAAGTTACAATATTAAAAGTTACAATATATTAATTGCAGTTTCTATCTTATTTATTATAAACAAATAGTTTTAATCTCAAATATTTTAAACTTAAAATTTCCTAAAAATAGTTTAGAAAAGCATCTTATACATTATAGTAAATATAATTATATATTTTAATTATATAAAAGATATAATAAATATACTAAAAGTATAATAATATATATTTAACTTTAATATTTATAAAATAATTTGAATTAAAAATAAATTTTCAATAATTAGATTATAACTAGTTGCAGAATCTTAATTTTATAATATAAAAGTTTGCAATTAATTGTAATTTATGAAATTGCAATTTAAATTGTAACAAATTACAGATTTTTTAAATTAGTTATAATATCATTATTATTATAATTTGAATTATTCAGAAATGTTTTTTTATTAAGAAAAACATAGTAAAAAACGTCTTCGCAGCTTCAGAGACGCTATTTTACTAAGAAAATATAGTAAAAAATGCCTCTGCAGTAATGTTCTGCATAAATCGGATCAGATTGGATTTGGGCAAAATCCGATTCGATCCGAATCTGAAAAATCCAAATCTGATTTGATCCGAATCTAAAAATCCGAATCTGATTCAATCCGAATCTGACAAATTTGAATCCGAATCTGTATCTGAATCTGACAAATCTAAATCCGTATCCGTATCTGATGGATCGAAAAATTTTTTTAATAAAAATCCGCCTTCGACGTTCGGAATGGCGTTTTAATGTTAAAAAACAAAAATTTTGTTGTTTTTTAACAAAAATCTGCCTTCGACGTTCGGAACGGCGGTTTAATGTTAAAAAAACAACAATTTTGTTGTTTTTTTTAACAAAAATCTGCCTCTGACATTCGAAACAGCGTTTTAATGTTAAAAAACAACAATTTTGTTGTTTTTTTAACAAAAATCTGCCTCTGATGTTCAGAATAACGATTTAATGTTAAAAACAACAATTTTGTTGGTTTTTTAACAAAAATTTGCCTTTGACGTTCAGAACGGCGTTTTAATATTAAAAAAACCAACAATTTTGGTTTTTTTTAACAAAAATCTGCATCTGACTTTCGGGGCGGCATTTTATTATTAAAATTTAATTTTTTTAATAATAAATGCCGGGTCTGACTTTCGGGGCGGCATTTTAATATTAAAAATTAATAAAAAATTAATTTTTTATTAAAAATGCCACGTCCGACTTTTGGGGTGGCATTTTTATATAAAAAATTAATAAAAATTGATTTTTTTATTAATAAATGCCGTGTCTGACTTTCGGGTGACATTTTTATATAAAAAATTAATAAAAATTGATTTTTTTATTAATAAATGCCGCGTCTGACTTTCGGGTGACATTTTTATATAAAAAATTAATAAAAATTGATTTTTTTTATTAATAAATGACACGTATGACTTTCGGGGTGGCATTTTATTATTAAAATTTAATTTTTTTAATAATAAATGCTGCGTCCGACTTTCGGGGCGGCATTTTATTATTAAAATTTAATTTTTTTAATAATAAATGCTGCATCTGACTTTCGGGGCAGCATTTTGTTATAAAAATTAATTTTTTTATTAATAAATGCTGCATCTGACTTTCGGGGCGGCATTTTATTATTAAACATTAATTTTTTAATAATAAATGTCATGTCTGACTTTCGGGTGGCATTTTATTATTAAAAATAAAAATTTTTTTAATAATAAATGCTGCCTCCAACTTTCGGGATAGCATTTTGTTATAAAAATAAATGAAAAATTAATTTTTTATTAATAAATTTCGCCTCTGACTTTCGGGGCGACATTTTAATATTATAAAATTAATAAAAATGAATTTTTTAATAATAAATGCTATGTCTGACTTTTGGGCGGCATTTTATTATTAAAAATTAAACTTTTTTAATAATAAATGCTGTGTCTGACTTTTGATTGGCATTTTATTATTAAAAATTAAACTTTTTTAATAATAAATGTCGCGTCCGACTTCGGGCGGCATTTTTATTTCAAATTCAACAAATCGGATCTGAATCCAAATTCGAATCTGACGGATCAAATCTGAATCCAAATCCGAATCTGTCAGATTGAATCGGATTTTTTGCAGAACACTACTCTGTAGCTTCGGAGACATTTTTTACTAAGAAATCTAGTAAAAAAATGTGTCCACAGCTTCGGAAATGTTTTTTTACTAATAAAATCATTACGAAGCTGAGATGGCGGTTATTACTAAGTTTTCTTAGTAAACTGAAGCTGCAATAGTGGTTATTACTAAGTTTTCTTAGTAAACTGAAGTCGTAATGGTGGTTATTACTAAGTTTTCTTAATAAAACTGAAACTGCAGAGTTATTTTATTAAGTTTAATAGTAAAAATTCACCTGTT